AAGAATTCAGATGTTTCTTGCTATTCTTCATTTGGTGTTGGTTGTCTTTTCACTATCTAACCAAGATCTATTCGGCCCCTCCAAGTGGTTCAAGTTTTGATTGGATGTTCTTAAGTTGGGTTTGAAACAAAAGTCCTGCTAGAATTCCAAAAACCTATAATTTAATTCATGAGAAAGATGGGCTTGATTATTTCTCAGCAAAGAGAAACACCTAATAAGAAAAAAATAGGCAATTGAGAACCTTATTGAAGCACTTTTTGATTCAAGAAGATGGTGAGATTTCCTCAGGTCGAAGAAGATGCTTCCATGTATGAGTATCACTGTAGCCAATAAACTACTACTATAATGCATTGCGTTAGGAGTTGGTTTGTGAATCCATGCGATGTTGTTGTATCCTATGTCTTCAAGATCGGTCCTTAGTTTCCTCTTCTTCTGCTCTTTCTAGTATTGTCTTGGGCAGATAACAACTAGAACTCAAGAATGGTGGGTGTGGCACTTTTGTTGCTTGTTGTGCCAATACAACCACTGAGAAGCTTCCAAACCCAGTCATAATCGCTCATTTTTCTTTCAGAAGTTCGCTGTTTTTGCTAGACACCTTCTTACAATGGATAAAACTATCCCTACCTTAGATACCCACTAAAAAAGTTTTTCAGGGTTTGTCATGTTAACTCTTTGGAAATTAGCCTCCTTTCATCTTGACACTTTTGATTAAATAATTACCCCTAAAGGCTATGTCATACTTTTTTTGGTAGGAGGAGACTTATCCTCGATATCTTGAATACTTGTTGTTAATTACTCATTAAATCACACATATTTTTGTTTTAATATGTAATTGGACGATGAAAGAAATTTGACCTTCTTAGCATATGTACCTTCCAGTTTATTTCGAGTATTTAGATACCTTTAGAGCTTTTATATTGGAATACAGAGTAAAGTCACTGGATAGATAGTTGTTCCAATGTTTTAAGGTGGCGATGATATAGTATTTATCACATGTTGAGTATCTTGATTGCATTCATTTAATTTTTTTATTGAAAAAAGCAATTGGGTGCCTCTCGCTCAGGCTCAAAACAACACCAATCCTCACATTGGATCCATCTGAGTCAATTTCAATGTCAATTAAAATTAGGTAGATTTTACAATGGAGCTTTAGTCAATGTTTGCTTAAGAGCATCAAAACTATTTTGGGATGTTGATGTCCAACTGAGTTTATTTCCTTATAGGTTGGTTCTAAGGAGCAGCCATCGATCTATATTTTTTCAATAAATTGTTTATTGAAATACATTACACCTTGGAAGCTCCAAACATTAATAAAAGATTGAGGATTTGGCTAATTTGTATTGGCATTGATCTTCTCTTCATCAATCTTGATTTTGATTGTAGAAATGACATCTATCAGCAAAAAATTGACATATTGCCATATTATTTCCTTTGAGTTAATATATTAAAGAGTTTTCTGTATGTGTTGTTGATGATCCTCGAAGGTATAACTATAAACTAGAATGTCATCAATGTA